TGGATTGCTTTAAAGAGGGAGCATATCAGTGTATTTTCTGTAAGAACTACTTGAGGAGTGTCAGGACTCCTTTCTGTGTGTTTGTGTTTCTGTGTTTGTCTCCCTTCATCCACCAGGACGCGCCTGGTTCTGGTCCGCCTCCTCACACACCTGCTGACGGTTACCTCGTTAACGGAGCGTTCTTAAGCTGCTGACTGCCACTACCTCGACGCCAGAGCGTTTGCCAGTTTTGGGTACTCTAGCCAAAATGAGTTTTGCTGAGTTTTAACATTGTTTGTCTATTGCCTCTCGGCAGGAAGTCATCCTGCTAACAGGATTTTTTGGACCTTCTCTCCCTGGAAGGATCGACTGAGCTTTAAACTGAGCTGGGGTTCAAACAGGAGGTTTGGATCCACTTTCCCAAAGAGATCGTTTGAGCTTCACACTGAGAAAGGGATTCATCTCCATTACGACCCGTTCAAGGACCGCAGGAAATCGGAGTGGTAGTCAGTTTCTCTGTTCACCTACAAACAACCGCTTTCTGGGTAAACCCTGTTCCGCCCTCCACCGAATCAGACAAACACTGGAACAACAGCACACAGACAGGAGTCAAAGATTCAACAACTACTCTGGAAACTACAGTCAGCAACCAAATCCTCTTTTCCAAGTTCACAAATCTATTTTCCCACAGAACCTGAACTAATCGCTGTGCCTTCCCCTCACTTTTCAGGTCCGGTTGAGCAGTGTTCAGAGCAACACTTCTGCAAATCGTTTCCCCTGGTCTCCCTGTTTGGTTTTCTGCATTTGGGTCTGAACTTTAGTAAAATCATGGCAAGGAGCACTCAGAGGAATCGAGAGTACGTCTTATGGGGACCACCTTACTAGTCATGCTTTTGGATTATGGACAGAAGCTGTAGTCCAGAGAAAAGCTGTGTAGCAGGGAGGATGTGTGAGCTCACAAAAGATGCTTGAACAGTTAAGAAAATTATTTTGTCTTGTTTATAAAACTCTAATCAAACATTTTAGACATATTTGCTTTGATAGCGAAACACATTCAATCCCTTCAAACCAGAATATCAGTGACAAATTTAATCATAGACTGTGATATAAATTTAAATATTGGAATTTACTGTTGCATACAAAGACATGCTTTGTTAAATAGAGATTTGAAAAGAATGAAATTAAGAAATGTGTAGGAGCCATAAATGAAAAGATGATTTGATGTTCGTTTGTCTGAGTTTATAGCCGTTATAGTTTTGTTTATATTTTTTGGTTTGTTTGTTTGTAGGGGATCAATTAGATATGGGAGGTGTTTTGCAATTGGGCATATTACTAACCTGTGGGAGTGTCACTGGTAGAGAGTGGGTGAATGGGCCGCTGTTTTTTTATGTTGACCGCCAAACAATTCGCCGTAATCTACATTTGACAAGTTATATTTTGGATACGTTGTTTATACCTTTGACGTGAATAATGTTCACATCAGCACCATATTGATCTTAGCGGATTCCTTTTTTTGAACGAGCGCATCAGAAAAGAAACGGTCCGATCTCGGCCTTTCAGCTGCTTTTTTTGTTTCCTGAAGTTGCTGCAATAAAAAGTTACTTAAAAAAACTTCTTAGTTAGGTTTTAGAATAACTTTTCTAATTATTTTTATCATGCTTAATTTTGTTCAAAGGAAAACAAACTGCCTTTACAATTTTAAAATTTCAAATTTGAATTTTCAGATTGATTTTTACTAATTGCATTTTTCTCAAATTGCATTTTACAGATTGCATTCTCTTCCGCATAAATCAAAATAATATGCTCATCGAGATAAAATGGGATTCATAAAAGAAAATCTTATTCATCCCATGAAGGGCAATTTATTACAGCAACCCGGTCAGACATACACAGAAAATGTCCTACAACTTTTTCAAATAAAATTGAAGCTTAACGACCCAAATGCAGATTTTTAATATTGATTAGATTTGTGCATTGGGCTGCATTAATATCGATCTGGTGGCATTAACCTAAAACATGTTAAGACACACCTCTGGTACAGGTAGCCCTCTTAGTGGCTCGATTCTCCCATAGTGAGGCCAGATCTCTGATGAACTGATAATCCCAGAACATTTGAAGGAAAAGTCCAGTCAGCAAGC